CCAAGGTGTCTATTTGCAGCACTGGGTTTCATAACTCAGAAATACTTGTGTGAGTTACTAGGTGGCCCTCACTAGGCACCGTCCCAGCAATACATTTCCCAAAATGCTAGTAGTAACGCCCAAACTGTCCCTCTTCCTGGAGCTCTCAGCCCCTGAACTTGATGGATCCCACTCTGCATCATTCATGTCATGGCCTCCAAAAAGCCACTGCTGGCTACCCATCTGCAGTCACGCACACTTCACACACACTCACTCTAGTGACATTACGAAGACCTGTCCTGCGCATCTTGCTGGAAGATTCCCTCCCTCTCTAGAATGTCAGTTCCTTGAGAGCAGGGACCTAGAATTGCAGCACCCGGACTGCGTCCTGTCTGACACCATACGGCACTTGTTTGTTAAGTGACTGGGGGGAGACCACCCTCACACTCACAACTCTGGGGCCTGCTCCCGGTCCCCAGGGCTCCCCTGCTCCCCTCCCTGCTCTCTCTGTCCTGAGACGCCCCCATCCTGCCCCTCCGTCTAGATGAAGACGCCCCAGCCAGCCCAGCCCAGAGTTCCCCTTTCCTTCTCTCCACACCAATGGTCCTTTAGTGTAGCACTTAAAAAAATTAAAAAACATAAATAAAATGTAATAAAATAAACTACCTCAGACCGTTATCTTGTGGATCCCTTAACTCCCTAAAGTGATTATAAATTTTTATACGCTTCGTTGCCTTTGAAAAAAGAACTTCAAATATGTACAGTGTCAAAGAACTTGAGTGTTCGTCACAACACCAAGGTTTTTTATTCGAATGATTTTGATTATAGAGACAGATGAAGTATATTTCCTTTTTATGCGGATTATAATTTTTAACTGTTCTGTGGTGTCTAAAAGTCACCTAGATAAGTACTATAAACGAGCTGATACTCTCAGGGGCTATTTACAATTTTTATAAAGCTCCACCTGAACTGCTGAGTGACCTTAAGGACCTGTGCCCTCTGTCGTTCACTCCTGACTCTCGAACACGCTTCCTGTCCTCTTTACCGCTCCGCGATCAGCAACACCACCACCACCTGCTGCAAGTAACTCTCCCTTTCTAATTCCCTACTAATTTGCAGCAAATAGGAAAGTCAATAGATTAGAACTAGGCCTTCAAAAGAGTTGACCGGGCACAGGGGGAGGCTCTGCCTCGGGAAGGGAGGGGGAGAGACCCACCAAGTCTCCTGACCTCCCACGGGGGCTCCACAAACACCGGTGACCACTGGCTGATGGACTGAGCCACAAATTCGGCGGCTCCTCTGCAAGAAACACCTAAGTAGCTGGCCGCTGCATTCTGTCGGTGGCCCAAGCACCACGGACTCAGAGGCCACAAAGAGCTGCTCCGTTTTTATCTCATCTGCTCTGACAGCAGCCCTGTGGCGTTCCGGAGCACAAGGCCCATCCATGTGAGCACGAGGCGCCCACTTTCACAGCTATGAAAATGATGCCCCAGAGAGGGGACAGGATCTGCCCAGTCGCCTGCTAAAAACCGAGGGGCCCTGCATTCTTCATTCCTTCCATCAAACCCATTTGTATAAAGCCCCTGTTGTTTATTTAGAGTGAAATAAGTTCACATAGGGCTCTCATGGAGCCAAAAGAGGGGAGGGCAACAATACATTCTGCAATTATATTCTATCGGATTTGAAAAGAACATTTGCCAAAAAAAAAAAAAAAAAAGGTTTGCCCACAGTCATTGTTTATTGCTAACAAGTAAATTCAATATTTTATACTAACAAATAGGAGACTGAAGTGGAAAAAATGGTAAATGCACCCAAATTTGGCCCTTCTGCTACTTTACAGATTATAACCTCCCTATGGTTCAAATTAAAATAATCAGAAACACCCGACAATAAAAACCCTCCCTTCCTCTATACCTGAAAAGTTTAATCTGTCCCACCCGAGGGACTTCTCCTGTTCAAACATGTAAGAAGTCAGACTGAATTACAAAGCCGAGAATCCAAAGTTCTAGCTCAAAATGCCCAAGGTGTGCACGTCGCTGGCCTCTGGCAAACCGCACGCTCCCTGGTCAGAGACAATACACACTGTGTTCTCACAACACCGTGTTCCTTCCTTCACTACAGGTTTGTGTGGGTCTTTGTTTGCCAACCAACGAATATATTTATTGCAGGCCCAGTCCGTGCCAAGCATCTAGGCGCTTGATCAGCAGCTTATTGATTTAACGTTTGTCGCTGCACTACAGGTGCCGTGAGAAGAGTCACCGCTTCTTTTCCTCTCATCACTGCCCAGCACTACCTCGCAGAATGCCTGGCACGCGGCAGGGGCTTAACAAATATCAAGGACTGCGAGACAGAGACACAGGAGGAGAGGAAGGGACCCCCTTGGATGTAAACGAATTGGGACTTTTCACTGCCTGGAACTCGCCTCGTGACCCCCCCAGCAATCTGATGAATTCTGAAAGGCACCACATGCACGCACAGCTGTAGGCAGAGCAGCTGCCGTGCAAAGGAGCCGAGGCCCAGAACTGTGCAGAATTCAGCCCTTTGTTTCTGTCTGCCTGCCTCAGGGGGAAGTTGGGTCTACTGTCCATCTACCTGTCAGCCTGCGCGTCTTCAACATCTGGCCTTCAGAAATACTAAGTTAACACTGCTACTGCGTGACATGTATGTTGATTGACTCACTGACATCGCTAACTGAAAAGATATTAAAATGTCCAAGGTCACACACACAGAAAAGACCTGTATAGAACCAAGTTCATATAAAAAGTCCCCCATTTCAGGTCCTTCAAAGCTGTAAATTAGCTTTCACAGAGTACTTAATTTAAAAACAAAACAGCTTGACTCATTATTTAAACTCTCCAAATTTTAGGTCATAAAGTTCAAACATGACTTTTTACCAGTAAGCTGTTCAAAACAGACTAAGTTCCAATAGTGAGCTTCACTCAAGTATTTTAATTAAAACCTAAGATTCAGTGGGTTATATGTTGCTCAGAGTAGTTATAAAAATAATAGCAGGATAAAAAGAAATATGAACCACTTAACTCGACATAAAAACTCAGTAATTTACACAGGCATGAAAATGAACATGTGTAAGTTCATTAATCATTAATAAACAAAAAGTTTATTTTCAGTTCTTTTTCCCAAACTAAATGAATAGATTAAAAAATTAAGGAATTAAAAAGAAAAGCAAAAAGCAGTAAAATGTTTTAAATATGCATGCCAAAGTACGCCAAACAGAAAAGCCTTAGAGTGGTTTCCATTAACCTATAAATATGCTTCAATATATGAGCTAGTTATGCTTAGCAGAGGGGTAAACATTTTCCCTTCCTCCCAAACTCCAACCCCTGCAAATCACAACTCACCTGGAAAGGCTGGTGACATTTAGTTATAAACAAAATGAACACTAAATAAAGGAACAGGCTGAATTATGTGAACACTTTGTAAACAATTATGCACTAAGCCTAATGTCAACAAAACCTCAATACCCAGTTAAAACAGCAAAAGAGAGAGAGAGAGGAAGAAAAGAAAAGAGAAAAGAAAAGAAAAGAGAGAGAAAGTAGCAGCAGCAGCAGAAAAAAAAAACTGGGAATTTTCTAGACCCTGGTCATCTGATTCAGGGCAAAGTATTCAATGACCTAAAACAGCAACAAAATCACTTCGTCAAATAAAGAACAAGTAAGTACTTAGCAAAAGGCCCAAAACTGTTCCTTGGATGAGCTAGTTGTAGTCCTATGACACTGTGAAATACAAAAGAATATGTGACAGAAAAACCAAAAAGGAATTCTTGCCTACACTTTTAAGTACTATTTTTACATTTTTCCAAAATCAAGTTTATGTTGTGATTTTATTTGCAGTATCACTTCCACGGATTACTTCGCAATGTACTGAGTTAATAAGGAGTAACTCCTAGGTTCAAATAACTACAAAAATTTACTTAAGACTAAGGCAAGCAAAAAATAAAAAGTTTTATATTAGCAAGAAACTGCCATATTGTGCCCTGGAATACAGTCAAACTAGGCCCTACAAAAGATTCACAAACTCACATTAAAATTCTTCCTTAAAAAAAAAAAATCCCAACAACGTGTCAAAATGCCAGCTAGAAATATGATACATCCAACCCAACTATTTTCCTACCAGGATCCCCTCCCTTTACTAAGGGTGACTACGCTTTACCTTGGGTTGAAAATATCGTAAAACAAAACTCTTGGAGTTGAGTCAAAAGTGACAGAACAGCACGCTCTTCAACTTCCATTTTGTTAATGGCCTAATTTCAGGAAGATCTGCTGTGCTAAGACCTTAGCCTCCCCCTAAGAGTGTTGCAATGTTGCGTGGCGCGGCCTGGCCTTGGCGTGGAGTGGGATGGAGAAGAGTGGCCGGACCATCCCGGAGAGGAGCGCAGTGGCGTGGCCGAGGTGGGGGGAGCGCGGAGCAGTGCGGAGTGACGCCCAGTGACAGGGCCCGGCCTGTGTGGAGTAGTGACAGTCCCCGCCCGCCCGCCCGCACGGAGTTGCAGTGTACAGCCCAGAGCGGCCAGTTCTCTGCCCTCCGGGTAACGCGAGCTCATCAGCCACAGCGCGCCCGGCCCTTACCGCACAGTCCCGGGTGGACACAAGGGCACCGAATCTGCGGACCTGGAAATGTCACTGTAGGAACACATTTTTATGACGCGTTCGCTGGCAAATAGCACAAAAAACTAATATGCCCGGAGTGCACCGCTCTGAAGAGACGGGCTGCTGCTCGCGCCCGCAGGTCCAGCTATTTTGACGTCCGTGAGTGCAGTGACAACTAGCCCTCAGACCGCGCTGGGGTCCGCGCACTTTTTCACGCCCAGATTCCCAGCCCCAAGTTTAGAAAAGAGCCCAAGTGGCGTCCGGAGCCGTGATTCAGCAGCGGCCCGGGGGGAGGGGGACCAGATCACGCCGGCAGCCGGTCCGGAAAAGGTCACTGAGAGCTGCAGACTCCGCCCAAGCCCGGATCTGGCCAGCCCAGGAGCAGAGGGGGAACTGGCGGTGGCAGACTCCTACCTTTCCGGCTTTTCGGAGAGCTCCGCTTGCTCCGGGCGCTGGCTCGCTCTTCCTCAATCGCAGCTGCTATCTCGGGGTTGTCTTCCCCATTGTACCAGACCAGGAGCTCCTCGCCCGGCGCGATTGGCTGCAGAGAGAGAAGAGACAGGGCCCTGCCCAATCAGAGCGGTGGTTGTTGGTAGGGCGGGGGCGGGGCGGGGCTGCCAGACTTCGGCCAGCTAGGCAGGAAGGGTTCCTGCGGGCTGGGAGGCTGCGGGAAGGGACCCTCTGCTGGAAGGAGGACCTCACTTCCCGCAGCCTCCTCTCAGGGATCCGCAGGGCGGTCTAAGGATCTGACTAAACGAGATCGCTTTAAACTCAGAACTGCCATATGCTGCCGAATCTTACCGTTCAAAGCCTCACGACTACCCACGCAAAAGGAAAAACCAAACAAACAAACCCGGAACCATTTTGCCCACGAAATCTAGCTGATGAGACTTTTAAAGCACAATTAGAAAGGACCAGGAGGTTTGGGAGAGAAGTGCTGAAATCCAATTACCAGTTTACAGTTCAGATTCCAAGAGCAAGTTAAGCACGACAAGGAAGAACTATATGCCACTGCACATCTTAGAGTCGCCGCTAATTGTATCACGGGAAGGCTGCAAGCAGAGGGCACGCAAGCCTCCTGGCGGTATATGATCCATGCACGGGAACGACCTGCTCGCGCCCGCGGACAATTTACCGTCTTGCCCTCTGTACCACACACCGAGTTTACACGACAACTTAAATTCTCTTAACAAAGTTGGGGTTTCCCAGGGATATCAGTGTTCATCTCTGCCATCTCTCCAGTTCCAAGATAGTTCTACTCCACTCAAGAAATTTGAAATATGTACTTGGAAATCCTTAATAACATTAGCATTTAATTGTTTTAAATTTAGAAGGAAGTATGTAACAACACCTCACATGTATTATACTGCTAAAACATTAATCCTTAACAGCCATGTCTGCAGTGAGGACATACACCACCCACAATCTGATTACACCTAGAACTAGGCCCTGAAGAAAAAAAACACACCGAGTACAAAGATGACACTCCTAAACAGAATTTAAGGAAATGGCCTATTGGTTTCTCTCACCATGACTCAACTGTTCAAAAAGTTCCAACAGGATCTCACAGGTAACATCCCGCCTAAAGTCTAATGCATAAAATAAGAATCAATGAGTCCACACTAATATAAATGAATGAATGAATGAACGAACAAATGAATGCACAAGTAAAAAAATAAGGAAAGCTCTTCCTTAAAGCAGATCCCAGATAATCAATGAAGAAGAAATAATGGAGGCAGGTAGAAGAGGGTAAAGGAAGACAGTGATGGAAGGAGACAAGACTTTAGATGGTAAACAATACAACATACACATGGTGAATTAAAGAATTATACACTTGAAAACTATATTGCTTATTAACCAATGTAACCCCAATAAATTCATTTTAAAAAAACAATGGATTTAGAAAATCACAACTTGGCAATAATCACAGTAGTAACTGATTCAGGCAAAAATCATCAACAGATGCTAAAACTTAGTAAAAGTTTGAAGAGCAATAGAATTATTTGCATATAAGATGTCCTGAGTTAAAATAACCATTACAGATGCCTTTTGGCACCCTGATGAGCTCATCTGTTTCTGTGAAGAAACAGGCTTTTTATTTAAATAAACCATTTATGATTCCAAATGTATAGTTTTCTTCTCTATTTTTTATTGTTAAGTTACATATTCATGACACGGTGGTATCATAAAATACTGGAAATGATTAGAGTTCACAGAAATACATAAAGACTTAAATAAGCCAAAGTAAAAAGAACATGGGGAGGAGTGAGTAAAAAATGTATTCCCGACTTATTCCGAACCCAACCGCATAGGCACAACACTGGGGACGGACAGCACCGCACCCCTCCCAGGCGCTTCCTGGACACAGAGCCCGAGCTTCCGTGCTCGTCGCGCTGCAGTCCTCGGAGTGCCACTGTCCTAGCCACCGGGTGAGGTCTGGACCAACACAAACTCTTTACGCAGGTGGGCACCCTTCTGTCTGCCAAAACGAACAAGATAAAAACATACCAGAATGTGTTTTCACCTAAACATATTATAAAGTTTCTAAATGGCTAATGACCTCATGAATAACTAGATTAAAAAAATGTGATTTGTTAGCCATTGAATAATCTTCAAAACCGTTAGCAACTAAGGAAATCATTATCTTATTGGGCTATATACTTCCCAACTTCACACTGAAACAGCTATACAGATAACCGATCTTTATGAAGAAGAAAATAATATATCTTTTTAAATCAATGGTTGTTTGTTTCTGTAGTTTTTCTTTTTATAAGTCAAAACTTAAAAAAAATTATTTGTTCTTAAACACAGCAAGTATAAACCTGCAAAAAATAAATCCGTGTTCGCATCATCAGCACACGTACTAAAACTGAAAGAGTAAGTGAAGATTAGCATGGCCCCTGTGAAAGGATGACGTGCAAATTCGTGAAGCGTGCCACATTTTTGTCAATAGACGCTGAAAAGGCACCTGAGAGAACCCAGCACCCATTTATAACAGAAGCACTCAGCAGAGTGGGAACAGAAGGAGCACACCTCAACATAATAAAAAGCCATATACGAGCAACCTGCAGCCAACATTATACTCAATGGTCAAAAACTAAAAGCTTTTCCCCTTAAGATCAGGAACAAGACAAGGGTGTCTGCTTTCACCACTCTTATTCAAAATAGTACTGCAAATTCTAGCCACAGTGATCAGACAAGAAAAAGAAATAGAAGGCATCCAAATTGGGAAGAAGGAAGTAAAACTGTCATTATTTGCAGACAGCATATAGTACATGTAGAAAACCCTACAGTCTCTACCAAAAAACTACTCAACCTAATAAGTGAATTTGGCAAAAGAGCGGGATACAAAGTCAATATTCAGACATCAGTGGCATTTGTGTATACCAGCAATGAAATAATCAGAAAGAGAAACTAGAGAAAACGTCCCATTTACTCTAGCCACAAGAGAAATAAAGTAGCTACGAATACATTTAACCAAGGAAGTAAAAGACCTGTACTCGGAAAACTACAGAACACTAAAGAAAGAAAATAAGGAAGACACAAATAAATGGAAGCATACACTGTGTTCATGGAATGGAAGAATTAATATCATTAAAATGTCCACACTACCTAAAGGAATCTATTGATTCAACACAACTCCTATTAAAATACCCATGGCATATTTCACAGATATAGAACAATATTTCAAAAATGTATAGGGAACCAAAAGAGACCATGAATAGCCTCAGCAACCTTGAGAAGAACGAAGTAGGACAGAACCCAAACCCAATATCAGACTGTACTATAAGGCCACTGTAATCAGAACACTCTGGTACTGGCATAATCACACACACACATAGATCAATGCAACAGAACAGAGAACCCAGAAATAAACCCACGTTTCTATGGCCAGTTGATATTTGACAAAGGGGGCATGAGCATACACTGGAGTAAAGAAAGGCTCTTCAATAAGTGGTGTTGGGAGAACTGGACCGGTACATGCCAAAAAAAAAAAAAAAAAAAGGAAACTAGACCACCAACTTACACCATCCACTAGAATAAACTCAAAATGGATAAAAGACAAAAATAAGTCATGACACCATAAAAGTCCTAGAGGAAAACATAGGATACTTCAGATATCCTATGTGGTGATATTTTTGCTGATATATCTCTTAGAGCAAGGGAAATAAAGGAAAAAATAAACAAATGGGACTACATCAAACTAAAAAGTTTCTGCATGGCTAAAGAAACCATCATCAAAATGAAAAGGGAACTGACCATATGGGAGAACACATTTGCCAGTGAAACATCAGACAGGGTTTGATTTCCAAAATATATAAAGAACTCCTATGACTCAACACCAGAAAGACAAATAATCCAATTAAAAATGGGCAAACGACCTGAATAAACACTTCTCCAAGGAAGACATACAGATGGCCCATAAACATATGAAAAGATGCTCAGCATCACTAGCCATCAGAGAGATGCAAATTAAAACCACAGTAAGATATCGCCTCACACCTGTCAGAATGGTTGTCATTAATAAACCAACAAGGAACAAGTGCTGGCAAGGATGCGGAGAAAAGGGAACCCTAGTGCACTGCTGGTGGGACTGCAGACTGGTACAGCCACTGTGGAAAACAGTATGGAATTTTCTCAAAAAACTAAAAATGGAACTGCCTTTTGACCCAGCAATTCTGCTGCTAGGAATATACCCTAAGAATCCCGAATCGCCAATTTGAAATCACCAATTTGAATCACCAACTTATGCATCCCTATGTTCATAGCAGTACTGTTTACAATAGCCAAGTGCTGGAAGCATCCTACATGCCCATCAGTACATGAGTGGATCAAAAAACTGCGGTACATTCACACAATGGAACACTATGCAGCAGAAGGAAAGAAGGAACACCTACCTTTTGCAACAGCATGGATGGAACTGGAGAATATTATGCTAAGTGAAATAAGCCTGGCAGTGAAAGACAAATACCATATGATTTCACCTATAAGAGGAATCTAATGAACAAAATAAACAAATGAATAAAATAGAACCACAGGCATGGAAACATGGAACAGACTGAAAGTGACGGGGGTGGGGGGGAGGGGAGATAATGGTGGAAAGAAGGGGAAGGAACTAGACAAACAACGTGTGTGAATGACCCACGGACATGGACAACAGTGTGGGAACTAACTGTGGAAGTGGGGGTGGGATGGGCAGAAGGGGGCAAAGGGGGAAAAGTGGGGACAACTGTAACAGAATAACAGTTTAAAAAATAAGACAAAAAAATTAAAAAATCAAAAGTCCAAACAACCTCTTTTTCATACATTATATTTTGATGTTTAACAAAAAAATACACAGAAAGACTTTAAACATTCCCAGCTTTTCCTCTGGGTTCTGACAGGCCTTACATAACCAAGCATACTCTCTTCTCTAAACACCAACACATATGAACTTGAAATTCTAACAGACCGAATAGGCAGAGGCAAGAGTTCTAAAGATTTCTGACACTAGTTCAAAATAAAACCCTCCAGAATTAACAGGAACACAAAAAGCATGTTCATGCTTTCCCACCCACAATCTACTCCCCTATATGACCTTTTAAAAGTCACAGGCCAGAAGCCTGAACTCTCAAATGAGTGAACTGAACTGAAAACCAAAACCCACACTTCTTTCTCCCTTCTGAGCACCCACCGCACCTGGTGGGGCCCCTGCCCAACTTACCAGCCTCATTTACTCTTCCTCCCCTTGCTCCAGACACAATGGCCTTTGTTTCGGTCCTTATTTTAAAAAATCTAGCTTATTCCTACTTCAGTGTCTTTGCCTCTGTGGGGGCCTGTCTTCCCGGACTGCTCTTCCGGCAGAGATCTCTGGGTGGCTGCCGCGCACGGCAAGGGGGTTCCTTATGTCCTGTCTTCCCTGACCCACCAGAGCTTAAGCAGCCCTCCCCCTACCCAGTCCCATCACATCTGATGGTCTTCAAAGCACTTCTCACTATCTGAAATTAGTCTGACTGCTTCTTCACTTGCGTATTATCTGCCTCCTCCCCCATAAATAGGAAGTTCCATGAGACCCAAGATCTTATCTGTTCTGTTCACTACTACGGAAGAATACCTGGTACATTCTAGACAATAAATATTTGTTAAACTAATACAGAGAAGAATGAGTGGATAGCGGGCTAACAGTTAACTTCCAGAAATTTGAAATACTTTTTAATCGCATTACAAACAAAACCAGCACTGGGATTTTCCAACTACCTGGGTGATGGTTGAGAAGGTGACGCAGTGCCCAGAACATCAGATGTCATTTATTTACAAAATCTAACCCACAGAAAGCCTGATCTGTAGTCAGATAGTCACTAGCAAGAAACCCGAAAGGTCTCGAGCGTGCATGAGCAAATTGCAAAGGTCGGGAACAGGGTGTCTGCAGAGACCAGGACTGCGCCGCTGCAGACGGAGACGGGTAAAAACAGCAGCAGCAGGACGGCTGGTGGGCAACGAACGGTGAGTGCTGGCGTTGGACTGGGACACTTCACAGAACCCTACACATACCATCTTGTTGAGTCTTCACCACGACTGCAAGTATTATTTTTACTCTTACCTCCATTTTTACAGATGAAAAAACTAAGACAGTTTAATTTACTTCTCAGGGTCACACATCTGGAAGCCAAAACCTGCTCACAAGCAGCCAGCTACAGGCCCCACCCCAACCGCGACCCCACAATACCGCGCCAAAAACAGCACTTACCATTTACCTAGCACTTATTACGCACTAGAGCTCTACCTGTAATCACCGATGACGCCGCCATGATCACCCTATGAAGTCCATGCTATTATTATCTGAACCTTACTAATAACAAAACGGAGGCACAGAAAGGCGACTTGCCTAAAGTTACACCGCTAGTCAAGTTACAGTGACTTCCCTCGGGCCATGAGCAAGCCAGGATCTAATCCAGAAGTCAGGCTTCAGAGTTCACTCTCTTAAATTCTCTCTCTTGCTCCTCAAGGTGTCTCAGACTTGCTACGGAGACAAACAGTCTGATGAAGAAACTTCAAAGTGCCCTGGTATCTCCCCTGTGACCTCATTTCTACTCCCCTGCCCACGTCGGAGTCAACCCCTGCTGGCATTTCCTCCCCGACAGGACTCTGCCCCACCGACCCAGCCAGGTGCAACCCTCACTTCAAATACATCTGAGAGACACGATGAATTCCTGAACCTAATTTCAAATTCCAGTATAACAAAATTGTACAGTTACACCTGCACACCTCTACTAGAAAACCGTGCTATTACAACACAGAAGAAAGAAAAGAGAAAGAAGTTGCAGAAGTTTTAAATGAGAAAATGTAGTTCCTACAGGGATTGGAAGCAAGGATGTGGGTACATATGAGGCAGAAGGCAAGTCCAATCGGCTAAAGGTGGCAGGAAAATTAGGCAGGTATATGCTCACTGGACTTCCAGAGGCCCTAGTGTACCAGACAGGCAAAACCCAGCAAGCCGCAATGCTGCCAATCATCCTAAACGCCTGCTCAACTAGTTTTCGACTCCACAGGAAGAATTATCATGGACTTTTAAAAAATCCATGACATTTAAAAAAATATTTTATTTACTTATTTTTAGAGAGAGGGGAAGGGAGAGAGATAAAAAGGAGAGAAACATCAATGTGTGGTTGCCTCTCATGCATCCCCCACTGGGGACCTGGCCTGTAACCCAGGCACATGCCCTGACTAGGAATCGAACCGGAGACCCTTTGGTTCACAGGCCGGCACTTAAACCACTTAGCCACACCAGGCAAGGCCAATCCATGACATTTTTAATGAAAGTAAGCGAATAAAGAGAAATCTGCCTTCAGCAGTTTTAGCAAATGCATCTATTTCAAAAAGCCGCAATCATCTACCTTCAGAGCCTCAGGACGCCGCCTTCCAGAACATGTCTGTGCACAGTGAGCACAGATTTGCCTTCGGAGAAGACGTGACAAGGGAGCAGAGAGGGGCCTGCGTAGTGCAGAAACGCAGCCACGCTCAACGCTTCCTAACACTAACTTCCCCGAATATACTGAGTGACCTCTGACCTCACTGCAAACCCTACAAAAGGACTGTCCGACTCCGTGCGTCTCACCAACGAACCACCGTAGCTATGGACAGTTTCTTGCAGCTGACTAAATCTGCCCATCAGACAGTTCCTAATGCATTTGTCATCTTAGGAGGAGGAAGCAGCTGCCAGATGCTTAACTCATGAGCATCTACAAAGGTGCGATACGTGATTACTTAACAGACCTTCGTGCTTTCTTGCCCTGATGCACGCACATGCAGGGGCGGCGACTGGCCAGGTCAACCACAGACTGTGACGTGCCTACCGCTGTCAGAAGCGATCCTTTCAAGGCCTGCAAAGCTATTACGGTCAGTCACAACTAAGGACAATATTTGCAAAATAGAGCAAACAACAGCAGACCGGTTCTGACACTCTTACCTTTAGAGTTTTATAGTAGATGGCCCTGTTGATCTCCAGGGGAAATAAATTCTGCTCTTCTCCTGAGCACGCCCAGTTCACATACCGCAGCCAGTTCCCCTTCTCTGGGTCGGTGGCGTCAATGCACATCCATCCCAAATTTGGGTAATATACCTTGGAAGGGGAAAGAAAACGCCTTTGTTAAAATGGCGGTAACTTTACAATGTTTCCATTTTCAACCTTTAAGACAGTTCTTTTTCATTATATGTAAAAACACCATAAAGCAGTTCACAGAAACAAAATAAATAAGCAACAGGGGAAAGAAAAATAAAAGATGGAAACTGAGATCCCAAACTGTGCATTCCTCTTTAGTTATTTCTCTATCTGGGCTTGTGTGAGTGATTTTCTCCTCAACTTCAAGAGCTGCAGTAAATAAATACGCTGGTGACCTCCAAATGCTCCACAAAGATGTTCATGAAGACGAGCGACAGCTCTGCTCCCTGAAGACAGAGCTGGAAGAGGGAGTTGGCAGCAACCCCCCCCCCCGCCCCGAGCCCGCTGATTGCTGTGCGTGTCACCCAGTCCCACGGGCTCCGTACCTGGACAGGTCCCTTCCCTTCGGGGCTAATAGGAACTGCAGTGGGTAAACAGGCAGTGTGACCCTCCACGTGCATGACGGGATGTGATGCTTTTGCCAATGCGGTTGACCTTTAAACCCTCCCCTACCCAGGGCACCTGTCACGACTGAGGCGCTACGGAAATGGAACATCCTCTGGGGAACACCCGTGTCCCTCCAACACAAGACCCCCCCCGCTTCAGGGGTCACATCAAATGCGCTCTCGCAAGAGGCTTTCCCTGATCATCCATCCAGCCGCAGCCAGTTCCTTCTCCCAGGTGCTTCTAGCGCTTAACAATCCTCCCTTTTAGAGAAAATCTACTTAGCAATTATTTTTAACTTTCTCTTTGTACATACATATTTACATACATACATGTTTTACTTTCCCAAAACTAGACGGTAAAAGTCTTGATCAGGCACTAAAATAAAATTACATAATCAACTGGTGACAGACTTGTCAAACACAAAACAAAGAAAATGAGTCTCTTAGTTTCTCTTAAGAAAGAAAGAAAAAAAGAACCTCGATGCTTCCATTTCTGCCCTGCACATACACAGCCGAGACTCCCGCCACCCATTTCTTCTTGTCGCCCCCACCCACACAAAACTCTCTTCTCCACCCGCAGCCCTCCTCCCGAACAAGGCGAGCAGCTCCGCCCTCCAGCAGGCCTGCGTCTCACTAGTGGGCACTCACCGGACCTCCCTTCCCTTGGGAGTCAGGTGTCGGGCATCCTGCTGCTTGCTTCCCATATGATCTCATTCAGCCCTATGCAGCAGATTCCTTATTATCCTTTTATAGCACGTCAACACTGAGGATCGAAAGTTAAGCAGTTCTCCCAAAGCTGCCCAAATAACTAGTAGCAAAGACGGACTTAACCCCAGATCCGCTTGACCCCTGCTCATCCGTCTGTTCCCTGACCACCCTGGTTAAAACTGCAGATCCTCCTCTTCCCATCAGCAGCCCAGCCAGCCCCTCCACTCACTTTCCTTCACGGCGCTTACACTCTTTCAAAGTACGGGGTCATCTACTTACCTTACTCAGCGCCCGTCCCCCCACAGCAGAGTACCAGCTCCCGAAGCAGAAGGCATTTTTTGGCCTTTCCCTACCCTGCAGTACCCACCCTACCTTGACCAGTGCCTGGCAAAGAGCAGGCTCTCAATAAATAACTATGAGGTGGATGAAAGGACAGCATTACATACAAATGTGTGACTGCCACCACTTACTGAGCACCTACTCCGTGACAGGAACCATGCTAGAAGGAGCTTTGCAGCTGGTTTATTTAACCACCGTAGGTGCCAAGGGGGTTCATCTCACTGTCCTACAGTACCCCACTCAGTAGATTCAGAAACTGGTTGTTTACTAAAACGCCCACCCACACCATTCTAAAGACAGGCGGCCACGCCACACGCGCACTCCTCTCCATTCAACACGAAGAGAAAGAGTTGCCCCCAAATGGCATGTTATGAAGAGACAGCATTCCAGTGCAAAACTGAACGTTAAAACTTTACACACCAAAATATTATAGCCTGCTTGACTTAAAAATGTTTGAGAGACATTTCTATCATGTTCGTCAGCATGATAAAATAAGGAAAATTGGTCTTTTAACATTGTCTGTCTTTAACATTTAACAAAAGCATTAGTTACTTATTACTAAATTCAGGGTAAAAGTTTGTTTCTGTTTCATTGATATTAGAGAGAGAGGGCAAAAGGCAGGGAGGGAGGGAGAGAGGAGGGAGAGGGGAGAGAGGAGGGAGGGAAACCGGAACTTCCTGGCTCCCAGGTCAACACAAACCTGTGCAAATAGCAAGCTGTGCTACTTGAGTGAACTCTTTATATGTAGCTCACTTTGGTCCAAAAGGGACTAAGGCATCTGCTAGGTCACACTTAAACTAAAATACTTAAGTTTATAGAAAAAAATGAGCATTTCCGTTTTTTAAAATGTGCAAACAAGTAACTCACAAAGAAATACACATGGTCCAAACCCTGCGAAGATAAAAATTAAATTTAAATAATAATAATCAAAAATAACTTCAAATTAAATAGTTTTCTCCTATCAAACTGGTGAAAATTGTTTCTTAAGGACAATGCTGATCAAAGAATAAACTGGAATCACTTTTTCAGGTGGAATTTAGCAGTACCTGACAAAAACAGAAACAGAAACACCCTAACTAACAGGCACACGCACGCTAACACCTGTAGGGCCGTATGCCTGTGAGATCACAGGGCAGGGAGTCGAGGTGTCTGCACAGAGACATGCGTGCGCAGCAGCGAGGTTCACTGCAGACCGTGTCCAGGTCACTCCTACGTGGAGAACTCCACGGGCCAGGTCACTGCGCTAACACGTGCACATAGCAGGACACTAAACAAGTGTTAAACAGTCTACTGCAAGGGGGCTCAATGGCAATGGAAAACAATACAATGAAGATTCAATGAAAAGTAACATAAAACAGAAAATAGATTTTTAAAAAAGCACTACTGCATAAATGATTAACTGGCTCATGTGAAAACTTATTTGCTGTTAGATAGTTCTACATTCCTTAAGAATTCTTCCAATAAGCACACAATATTTCTATTACTAGAAGAACACAAAGATAATCAGAAGTTATGGAAATATACTATTTGTATAAAACACAGTCACAATACATTGATGATTGAATAAAGCGATTTACAGAAAGTATGGCTTATATGATACCATTTTTGCTTTAGACATGTGAATGTATATGAAAAAAAAATAATCTGAAACCGAAGTAAAAATGTTAACGATGGTTTTCTCTGAACAGTGAGATTACTCCTTTTTTTCCTTTTGTTTATCTAAATTTTCTACTTTGTCTCCATAGATCTAAGTATAATCTCCAAGTAAACAAGGGAAGAGGGTGAGGAGAGCAAGTTAACCTTCTGAACGAAAACCTAAGTTTGAATGAAGGCAGTGGAGGTCTGCTCCCTGAGAAGCTAAGCCCCTCCCCTCCCCTCCCCGCCCTTCCCCTCCCATCACCACACACACGCATTTAAAATACCAGGTAGCTTTCTTGTTCTTATTGGGAGTCTAAGCCTACAAGTATGAACTGCAATAAAAATGTGTTTATATACAATTTACTATCTCAGCTGGTCAAACCTCAGTTTCCAATTAATTTCAGTAGCTGACACACAAAACCTAGTCTCTAAAAAGTGAAAGAATTTTGTGTAATGTAAGCTACAAATTACAAGGCTGCAAAAGTGCCATCACACCACTAGGCTGGGGTAGTGGAGAGACCCTGGAGACCAACCAGAATCCCTCTCTTCAAAGACAACGAGAAGGCAGGTGAAACTCCCGCCCCCGGGCTCAACAGAAGATACACAGCAAATCTATTTCCACATCTTTACGATAACCAAGAAAGAAATACTCAGCTGACTTGATCCAAAGGAGGACTATTTCCACGTAATCAATAGTTTTTTGCATTCAAATTTATAAAACGGTCCCTTTTAACAAAGCAAGAGCAGCCAACCACACACCAGGTGTTATGAAACCATGCTGACAAGGCACCTCTCAGACGGGAACCCTCTACTGAGAGAGAAAGACCCGAGGGAAGGGAAGCACCTCCACGTCAAGCACTGGTCCAGGAGATGCTGCTGGATGTGCTACTTCACCATGTCGGCCTCCACGAGAGCCCTGCACGATGTCACTAACCCCCTATACACGAGGGCACCGAGGGAGGCCAGTCGTACTACCAGCACGCTCACGTCACTGGGTCAGAGCCGGGACCCCACGCCGGCCCCCTTCCTCACGCCTGCTTTTCTACGCTGCCTCTCTCCGGCGCCTCCTCCCACCCTCAGCCCTTCCCAGGTTACCAGGCCGGACCTCCTTTCTGCCCCTACCATCAAACATGAGTGTTGATTCTGTCAAACAGAACATAATTTCCAGACCACCCAACTTCCACTCAACTTAATCCAGTCGTTTCCAAACAGTCATAAAATGACCTAGACTGAAAATGTAGTGCCCACTCCAACTTAAAAACACATTCAAAAGTAAATACTCAAGACATACAGAAGAAGGACTGCAAAGAACCACCCAAGTGTAAAGCACGGTGTCCTTAGGGGTGGTGATGAGGGTTTTAACTTACACCCTTCCTCGCTGTTTACATGTCCTATTGTATATATAAATTCAAGTTTGTAAAATAAAAAAACAATTCTCATTCAATTCGTGCAAACATACCATCATCTGAATCCTAAACTGTCTGCCTGTGAGGAGGTCCTTACCCGGTCTCTCTGCGGGAACCAATTTGCTCGGCCAAAACCACGCCCAGGAATTAAGACACCCCTTCCCACCGTAGAGCCCCAGGCTGAGGGCCGCCCCCCTCATCCTGACCAGCCCTGGAGGGTTAGAGCCTTAGAGCCTTAGAGCCCCCAGTACCGGCTGCAGACGCCCCTCCCCTCCTGCGGCTCTAACACGTCTGTTCCGGGGGGCAGGCCCTGTCCTGGGTGAGGTCCCAGCTCCACCGCAGCAGCTCCAGTTTGTCCTATGGTCTGAGGCTCCTTCTCACCCTGATTTCTCTGGGGCCCTGGCTTGCTGGACGTCCCACAATA